AAACCGAAAATTTAAAATACTTTAAAAATATCTAAAATGCAGAAATTTTGTGGGATTTTTAAGTGAAAAAAACAAAAAAACAAAAAAAAATATAAAAAACTCTATATTTTAGAATCAGTTCATATAAAATAACCTATACAATCGGTTCTAAAGATCTTTAATAATAAAAATACTTAAGAATCCAACCATGAATTTCTGCATTATGGATGCTATAAGAAAATTTTGTTGAACTCACAAGTTACATTATATTAAACTTTTATAATAGAGAGAAGGGAAGTCACCTAGCCTACCTTTTATATTAAATTTTAAAATTTTATGCTTACACAATAACATAAAAATGGCTCAATTGGTTAATTTCCTATTGTTGAACTTTCGTCTCGTAGATATTAAATTTTTATGTTTATTTTATAATAATAATATTATTTAATTATATTAATATTTATTTATGATCTATGTCAAAATATTTTCTGGGACCGCTACTTGATGGGACCGACATATCTGACAAGAAGAGAATTTGTCTCCTTAACCATCGCTGGCGGAATACAAATCAACGGGAACGAGAAATTGGTTGCAAAAGGACAATGATACAAAGACTCATAACGACTTCAAATCTACATCACAACTTTTCATACTTTTCCATTTTATAAACAATCATGTTTAAGTAATGAGGATTCAAATAATATACTATGTATGTCTTTATGTAATATGAGGTTAAGAACAAATTATTAGTTAGTATATCAAAATCTAAAAATCTATTGTTTATATTTTTCTAAAATAGTATTAGAGCTTGGTTGATCTGATGTTTTTAATTGTTTCCACCTAGAGTAGTGAAATTTTATCGAGAAGATTAAGTCTTGAATATTACTTATGATCATATCAATCTACTCTTTGCTAATAATTGGATTTGGAAGTTTATAATTCTAAAAACTATACAGAATTTATATACACATAATATATCATATCGAATAATAACTTAATATCTGTCCACCCGAAATATACGACATCGATTATTGTATCGCTCCCCACAAATTCGAAGGCCAAAGTAGGATGTGTGGCTTTCAATCTAAAACAATGCTCAAGAACTAGACTTGTCAACAAGTCGATAAGAAATGCTCATTCTAAGAGTTGCGATTTAACAGAGAACTACAAATGCCACTTTTAGGGGGAGTGGGTGGTGGAGAAATTGATTTTTCTGATCTAGATTTATAATATAACTTTAGAACGAATGACAAATGCTGTGTTTGGTGATATGGATTCTATCTTAATTTGAAATAGAAAAATAATATTCAAAATAAATAGAACGTGATAAACAAAAGAAATTTAAAATAGTCATCTATATTTTTAATTTTTTTTGACTGAAATATTAAAATTTTAAATATAGAAAATATTTTTTTTAGAAAAAGGAAAAATAATAGTATTGAAAACTAGAATCCTTGTCAGGTAGATCGTAATTTCGGAATACTTAAACCATCATTTTTTCCCAATGGTAAAAATTGATTGTGCCCTTTTGTTTGTTTGGTAGAAAGTCCATATACATTGACGTTTGGCGTTTTGTTTTTTTTGGTCAACGACCAGAATAATTTTTTTTCGTATTATTCTATATGAAGTTAAAATAACTTACCGTCAAGATCGAAGACTGAGATCTTCAAGAATAGATTTTGTAGAGATACAAACTTTAAACTATTAGTTCCAAAATAAAACTTTAACTATCAGTAGTTGATAGAGTGATACATAGAAAGTAGTTTCTTAACTTGATAAAAGCAAGTGGGAACTATGAGTCAACTATCAACTGTACAATCATTATCAACTACTGATATAGTAGAATAATTAGATGGTAGGACACAAAATAAGGTAAGAAAAATATGTGGAAGGTAGGCGATATAATCGGTGTAGGGAAAAAGGAACCAAGTGCAAACACTATATTTAATTGTATAGAGTGGACGAATATAGTAAATTTAGTCAGTAGACTCAATACTAGTTCAATATTTTATAGTTGTTGTATAGTTTATAGGGATAATTATCTAGAATTCTTATTTTTTAAAATCATTTTTAGTAGAGTTTAATTTACATTGATTTTAAAAGTTAGGGAATTATTAAAATTATAAAGAGCTTTGTTTGTTTAAAAATTTTCGTTATAACAACTCCAAGAATTCAATATATATTAATAGGATCATGAAATTATGTTTTTAACATTGTAACGAATTTATACTCTAATTAAAATTTTCATATAAAAATTGACCATAATGAATCATATTGAAGAATAAATTATTTTAAATACAATATAGAAAATCTTGAAAAGTCCATGTACTAGAGACTTATTTATATTTTAACACAATTTATCTGAAATAGATACAAATTTATGTGTTTACACTGTTAGTTGCAGAATATTTTTCATGTCTTTCATGGTTGAGATATCAAATATTATTAAACAAAATTCAAAATTTTCTTTAGGTTTTAAGAATTTCACAAATCATCAAATACTTTCACTAATTTTTAATAATTATTTCAAATAAAATTGGAGCCAGAGTGTTTCTTATACAATTTAATTTTCAAAAAGCAGTGGGTGAAAGTAGTTAAGAATGTTAATCTCACTATTGCAGATTAATAGACACTCAATAAATAATGTATCAAATACAACATGAGTTAGACTTTAAAGAAAAATCTTTAAATATAATTATGATGTTGTTTAAGATCTAAATCTTATATATTATTTGACAAACAGGTTTAATGAAAAATGTTGATGGGTGGTAAAGAGAAAAAAAATTAGTGAAAATTAATGATAACTTGGAAATGTGAAATGAAAATGTAACATGACAATTTTTTTAAAATTAACAAAATATTTTGATTGGTTGAGTTAAAACTAAATAATTCTCATTTTAAAATAAGAAAATAAAATATTATATTATATGTAAATGCATTCTAATTATATACCAACAATTCAAAATTATAAATGAAACAAAAAATAAATAGAAAGAAAAATAAATCGTAAGTATTCTTTTAGTGAAAAAGAAGTAGAAGTAAAAATAAAAGCGAACCTCTATGACTTAAGTTTTCTGTAAAATCTCGGGCTATATTTTTGGTTTAAAGAATCTCCAAGCCACATTTATTTTAAATCTTCTAATTTAGAAGAAAAATAGATATGTTATTTTTTTCTCAATAATTGAAAGAAAAAATAACAATCTTTTTTCTGTCAAAAAAGTAAATTGGAGAGAAATCTACTTATATTTTAGAAGAAAATAAAAAAAAATACATTGTAAATGATCTTAATGTTTAATATATTATTCAAAGTTAAGAAAAAAATATGAGTCAAAAAGATAAAAAAAAATAAAAAGAATAATTTTTATCAATTTTATATTTTATTTAAAATATTTAAAAATATTATCTTACTCATATTATTTATTTCATGCATATATTTTTCCAACATATTAAAACATTATTTTGTGAATCATGTTTTTTAAATATTCTGATATATTATATTTTATATTAACACATATATCAAAGCTAGAAATAGAAGAACTCTAATTTTTAATATAACAATAAATTATTTTACACTTTAAACCATACACATATAAGTTTAGGAACCAACTGGTTTAAACGTTGCAGTTACAGAGAGTTTGTGAAAATGAGCAATTGCAGACTATAAAAAAACTAACAAAAAGATCAACGGAGAGCTATCATAGAATTTAATAAAATATAATTTCATAAATTTTATAACAAATATTTTTTTTTAATTTTTTTATTGAAAAACCATATATCATTAAACGGTAAAAATAAAAAAATTTGATTAAATATTTGATGGTAATCCAATGTATTTGAATTTTTGAAGCATGAAATATGATAATATTTATTTTTGAAAGAGATTATCTCGTGTTAGTGAATTTGTTGCAAAAATGAGCCGGAAGACATTACTGTATCAAATATAATTGATAATATAAAGTTTTGGAGTTCAAAATTTATGTTTTGAAATTTTTGGGGATTCAATAAAAGAATTATGCTTTGAAAAAACAGAAAAAAATAAATTTGATTTTGTGACTTGAATTCCATACAAGATCCAAATATTCGATAATATATTCAAGCTAAACAAGCAGGAATTTTACAAAAGCAAAGTAATCAACATCAAAATCAAGAAGCTCCTCATCCATCTACTTTGTTTGATCAATATTTGAATGATCTCAGTGGATCCGCAAACAAATTACCATAATATTAAATCACTAATATTTATAATTTTTTGTATTTTTAAAATGTTATTGCAATTTATAATTTAGTCTGAAATAAATGAAAATTTTCAAATTTAGTTATATTATATGTTCACAAACTTTTCTCAAACCATAACCAAAATTATTAAATTTATTTATTTTATTAGTTTTTTGTATTCAATAACATACAAAAAATTATATTCTGTAACTTTTTGGCGTATTATTGTATAAATAAAACTTAAAAAATCTGTATACTATATTGATATTCATGTTTATCTTTTTTTATCTCGGATTAACCACTTTCATTTATAAATTATATAATCAATTAACGTAAATAATTATTTTTGGCTTTCTATAATAGTTAGCGTGTGAAATGATGTTCTGTTGATTATATTAAAATTTATTAAAGTTATTTAACTATTATGTATTGATTAAATTTATATGTTAGATGTATAGGTATTTGGTAGATATATAATAGGTTATGCAAACACCTAATTCAGTTTCTATATTTATTATACAAATAAAAATAAAATGTTTTAAAAGTTAAGGGATTAGTTTATTAGTAAAAAAGTATATATAGATATCTATTTTAGAGGAGAAAATTGAGTTTTTTCAATTATACAGGAGAAAATAATATTATTTTAGAAGAAAAAAAAAAGGATTAGAAATAACTTTCTTCCAAACTTTATTTTTTCTTCGAAAATAGAAATAGATTAGACAGACTTTAAACGATTGGAAAAAAAAACATTCATCTCATTTCAATTACAATTAAACACAGTGTTTTAATTTCCGTAGAAATTTTTAATGACGTTTACAAATGCCACATCATCTATACATGGCCAGACTATATTATGGTTGACCATAAGATGGAAGATTGACTTACATTTTTTTTAGATTTACAAAAGAAATTCTAGTGACAGGTTAAATTGCAGAAAACACTTATATATATATAACACCCCTATACTGGTTTTGTCACTGTTAAATTCAGACACTTTGAGAAACTAAAATATTTGTTTTCAGACAAGATTTTTCATCTTTCTGTAAAATGAAATTCGGGAAAGATTTCTCGCTACAAATGGTGCAGGAATGGCATGAATCTTACATGAATTACAGCTCTCTCAAGTCTCAGTTAAAAGATATCAAATTCAAACGCATAAACAATCCTCCCCGTCACGGCCGTCATCACGGAGAAGGCCTTCGCCAGAAGCGGACTCTGCACGGCCATCATCACGGAGAAGGTTTACTCTCGACGCCGGGACCAAGAAGCCATCACCACGGCGGACACAGACACAGACACGGACACGGTGGTGGACAGATCGGCCATTTCTCAGATTCTGACGACGACATCGAGGAAGGATTGAAGCCAGCGCCTATTGTGGTGCAGTCGACGATTCACGGCAACCGGACGACGTTTCTGATGGTGGCCGAGCAAGGAGGAGGGTACGAGATGGAGTTTTTCCGGCGATTAGACGACGAATTCAACAAAGTGGAGAAATTCTATAAAGACAAAGTGAAAGAAGTGAAAGAAAAATATATTAAGCTTAACAGTCAAATGGAACTTCTTATCGCGTTTCGGCAGAAAGTAAAGGTTCCTAATGGTTGCCGGGAGATGACTCCATTAGCTTCTGCTTCCGCCGGAGCTAGCTTCAACAGTAAGTAACCTAACTCAGTCATTATATTGAAACTGATTTTGTTTCTTTCTTGTTCCGGTTTTATTGAACCATAATGTACCGGGTCTCAGAATTAAAATTTGATTATTGTAAATTCCGGTTTGGTTGCAGTGAGGGCTGGAGCTAAGTCTCACATGGAGGCAATCCAGGAAGGAGGATCGAGCAAAACTGGTAAGTCCGAGGAAGATGACGATGATATCGTCGTCTCCGACGTAGTGGCCGGTGACATAAGTCGACTGAAAGCTGCGAGGCCATCCCCGATCGAGGTTAAGTGGGATCGTGTTACGATCAATCTCACCAATGATACGCCTCGGTCCACCATTAAAGGCGTTCTCAAGCTCTCGAACACGGAGTCTGAGTATACCAGAGATAATCTCAGGAAAGTCGAGGAGCAGCTCAAACGCGCCTTCGTCGAGTTCTACCAGGAGCTTGAGCTACTCAAGAGCTACAGGTGCGTACTCGTATACGTTGAAATTTGGATGATCAAAATGAATCGAAAAAAAATGCATGCAGGGGTCGGAATGTGGATGCGTTTTCGAAGATATTGAAGAAGTATGATAAGGTAAGATTGTGTTAATTAGAGATTGTGAGAATATGGCTTTCGGTTTTTTTTTTTTGGTCGACGAAATTACTCTTAAACAGATAACTTCGAGGCATGCGAGAGAGTGTTACATGAAGATAGTTAATACCTCTTACCTTGGAAGATCTGATAAGGTATAAAGTCCCTTTTTGGGTTCGATTCCGTTGATTGATAATTCTTTATGTCTCTCCTAAAAAGTGATCTTCTCTTGCTCCTCCATTACCACAGGTGATTAGACGCATGGAGCGTGTTGAAGCTACGTTCATAAAGCACTTCACAAATGATAACAGATCAAAAGGAATGAAAATCTTGAGACGTGAACCTAAAAGAGAGAGACATCGTATTACATTCTCCACAGGTGAAATTCATTATAATTTCTTTTCCTCTCTTTCAGTCTTTGATTGTCAGTTTCTGAATTAGGAATTTGGTTTTCAGGTTTCTTAGGCGGATGCATGTTTTCTCTAGTGGTGGCTCTATTCGCCATCATACGCACCCGGAACATTTTGCACAAGAAAGGCCAAGAACAGTACATGAACACTATGTTCCCTCTTTACAGGTAAAACTTATTTGCCTCTCTTCTTACAAATTTATATGCGCCTTCTTTGTTTAAGGTGGAACTTGTTGTTTAGATGCGCCTTCTTTGCTTGTTCTTGCAGCTTGTTTGGGTTCATTGTGCTGCACATACTAATATATGCTGGAAATATATACTATTGGAGGCGGTATCAAGTGAATTATCCTTCCATATTGGAGTTCAAGCAAGGAACTGAACTTAGCTATAGACAAGTCCTATTTGTGGGATTCAGCATCGGAGTCTGCGCGCTTCTTTGTGTTATCGCCAATCTTGACATGGAGGTTGACCCTGAAACCAAAGATTACAAAGCATTAACCGAACTTCTTCCTCTTTTCCTCCTCATTGTAAGTCCCCGTATATATATTTCCAAAAGTCAGCGTTTGAATGCGAAACTCAGCTGTATTTATGACAATGTTAACGTGGTAACTTTTGTGATATAGGTTCTGTTTATAGTTCTAATCCTACCATTCAACACATTCTATCGCTCGCACCGCGTTTTCTTCCTCACATGCCTCTTTCACTGCATTGCTGCTCCTCTTTACAAGGTATCAACAGAAACTGAACTTGCTCGTTGATCATGCAAAAGAAACGTTGATTGTATTAAATCCTAAGACTATATGCATTGCAAGGTTCGACTATATGCATTGCAAGGTTCTAAAGAGCATTTGCATTGCTGAGAAATTTAAATGGGTCTTTCATATAATATAATTCTATGATTATAAGTATAATTTAGTTTAACAAAAAATTTTAAATTTATAAAAAAATTTAAGCCAACAATGAAGCAATACATATGTTTGAGAGTCTCTCATGAATCTTTCATAGTCTCATCTCATTCTCTCTCTTTTCTTTTTTTTTCTTTTTTTTTTCTTTTTAATTTCTTTTAATAATGAGAGACTCGTTAAAAGACTGCACATAGTCTAAGAAAGTCTTTCAACAAAGAATAAAATATAAAAATTAGTAAAATAATAAATAGATCTCTCACAAACTAAGAAATTCATCTATTATTTTATAATTAAAGTTTATGACTATTCAATATAATAATACTATGTATTATTTTATATTTATTGAGAGACTCTTTTAGAGCATCTTTATTGGTGAGAGAGTCACATGAATCTCTAACCAATTTAATAACTTTAATTTTAATATTATTTAATTATATATTTTTTTAAAATTAAAAGAAAAATTTAACCAATAATATATAGAATACATGAGATGAATCTCTCATAATCTCTCAAATAAGAGACTCTTCATTTTTTTTCTTCTCTTTTTTTTCAGTTTTAATAATTTTTAAATATGAGAGACTCTATGAGAGATCCCACTGCAGATGGTCTTAGAGACTATGGCTGTAGTAATCATTCGCCTTCTCCTGCAGGTAACTTTACCGGATTTCTTGTTGGGCGATCAGTTAACAAGTCAGGTGCAAGCTTTTCGAAGCGTCCCATTTTACATATGTCACTACGGTTGGGGAGATTACAAACATAGAATAAACACTTGCAAAGACTCAGAGCCCCACAAAGCTTTCTTATTCATTGTTGCTGTCGTCCCATACACCTGGCGTCTCCTTCAGGTACGAAGTTTCTTCAGATGAAATCTCTCAATACTTTTTTTTTTCATTCATATAATATTTTGCTAAAAAAAACGAGACTTGTGTAGTGCTTGAGGCGGCTATTTGAAGAGAAAAATACAGAACAAGGATACAATGGTCTCAAGCACTTCTTGACTATAGTGGCTGTCTGCTTGAGGACGGCTTACAGTGTCGTCGACAAGGATCATCAATTTGTGTGGAGAATGTTAGCTGGGATCTTCTCAGCTATTGCTGCCATTTTCGGTACTTACTGGGACTTAGTCCATGACTGGGGTCTTCTTAACAGGACATCTAAGAACCGTTGGCTCCGGGATAAACTCCTTGTCCCGCAAAAGAACGTCTACTTCATCGCCATGGTGAGCCACAATCTATAGATACAGTATATTAATAAGCCTCATCATTTTGAATCCTTGAGCAAAACTGATTCTTATCTCTAAAAAAAAACTGTGCAGATCTTGAACATCTTGCTCAGATTCGCGTGGCTTCAGACCGTACTAGATTTCCACTTCAATTTTATGCACAGAGAGACGATGATTGCTGTTGTTGCCAGTCTAGAGATTATCCGCCGTGGGATATGGAATTTCTTCAGGTAACTACACATATTACTGCAGGTTTCTTCATCGTGTGTACGCTTTCTTTACCGTTCCATAACATATAATAATATAACTTTATTGGTTTGGTTTTGGTTCCATCCAAACAGGTTAGAGAACGAGCATTTGAACAATGTTAAAACGGGCAAAGCGGTGAAGACGGTTTCATTACCGTTTGACTACGACGAGGATGACGACAAAGGCAAAATAAGCTAAGAAATTTGTGTAAGGTAGGCGATGATATAATCGGTGTAGGAAAAAGGGAACCAAACGCAGACGCTACTCATATTTAATTGTATATAGTGGACTAATATAGTACAATTAGTCAATAGTCAATACTAGTTCAATATTTTATAGTTTATATATTCTCTATTTTTTTCCCAAATCACATTTTTAGTAGAATTTAATTTACATTTAGAGAATTATTAAATTTGTAGAGAATATTGATTTTTAAATATTTTAATTATAACAATTTCAATAATTCAATATATATAATCATAGTTTTATAAAATTACGTTTAAAAACATTGTGTAGAACTTATATCCTAATTATACAAAATCTGAATTCATCATAAGCAATCCTGTTGAATAATAAATGATTTTAAATAGAATATAAAAAATCTGCAAAAATCCATATTTTACTAATGTAACCCTTGGTAGGCTGTTTTACTTATAAGTTAGGGTTATCTATGTTAATACAATTTATCCAAAATAAAAATATATTTATATGTCACATTGTTAATTCCAGAGTAATCGAGATATCTAACATTTTCAAAAGTTTTCAGATTTTCTTCAGATTTTTAAAATCTCACAAATTATCAAATACTTTCACAAGTGTTTAAAGTTTAGAATTATTTCAAACATAATAATGTCGGAGTGTTTCTTATTCAATTTAATTTTAAAAAATCAACGAGTGAAAGTAGTTAAGAATATTCGCCTTTGCAAATTAAAAAAAAAAAATAGTCATCCAATGAATGATGCATCAAATACAACATGGGTTAAACTTCAATGAATCTAACTAATGTAATTATGATGTTTTTTACGATCTAAATAGGAGACAAACAAAGGGAGGATGAATACTGCATAACTGTTTGGAGACAAAATATTGGGATTCTGCCAAATTGAAGATTGCACAGTTGCACATCAATACTTGAATTAGTAGAAGGCAAAACTTTATTGATGTATCTGAAGCATGGGATATGATAATATTTGTTTTTCTTTTGTTTGTTAAAGATATGATAAAATTTGTTACGAAGGAGAATGTCTCTTGTCACTGAATTTGTTGCAAAATGAGTTGAAAGACATTACTATATCAAATCTAGTTGAAGATACAAAGCTCTGGAGTATTGAATTCAATAATTTGAAGTTTAACATTTCGTACATCTGTTACTTACAAGAGGTTCAGCCAATAATTTTTTTTTTCGATCATAACTATGATTTCAAAATGTTATGTTTTGTTAGAAAAAAAATTAAAGTATTTTCTGTAATATAACAAATATGTTTAGTGATATATATAAAAAACTATGTTGCAAAATTTAACAATTATCACATACTATCTCACACAGATCGCGCCACAACTCACAATTTCACATATTCCAATTTCCAACGGACGTCTTTTTTCAGCCATTATTATCACGATCAATTTCGATCTGGCGAATTTAATGCAACCAACTCTTCGTAGATCTTTTGGTCTATTAGAACTAAACAGAAAATAGTTTCTTTTTTTTGTTGGTCGGAAGTAGAAAGTACTTCTAATGGCCAAAAAACAAAACAAAACTCTACCAAAAAAACAAAACAAAACTCTACTTCCGGATTGATATCTCAAAAAAAAATATTGCCAGCAAATTATATTTAACAGCTGTTTTTCTGTTTAATTCTAATAAAAAGAAGTTTAGAATTTCAAAAAAACTCCAAATTAATCTTCTTTTTTTATTTTTAATTTGAATAACTCGGATTGATATCTCAAAAGTTTTTTTTTTAAAATAATTTAACAGCTGTGCATGTTCTATTGGTTTACTAATTATTTGAGGTCCGTGGGGCAATCCACACGCGCTTTGGTTGCTCGTTCTGAACACATTGATAAATGTGTTTGAATTCTCAACGAGATTGAAAAGAAATAAATTAAATAATCAAAAATTGACACATGATCTTTATATATATAACACACACCTATACAGAGGTTTTGTCACTGGTTATCCTGTCTACATTATTATCTACATTATCCTGTACTACATGATCTACATTATCCTGTCTTCTTCGTTCTTACTTCAGACACAACAGAGAAACTACATGAACGACATAGAAAACATTTTTAGCATGTTTTGAAGCAAATTAATACATTAATTATGACATGTTTTTTGTATACTTTTATTTCCAGCATGCAAACTTATTTTACCTTATCAGAGTTTCGAAGGCAAGAGTTATTAACCATTGTCATGTAAGACTTGAGGTCGTCTTAGCCGTCTAAAGAGAAAATTTTTTTTTAAGGATTCTGGTCGATGGCTCGAGGCTTCTTAAGCTCCATCAATCTTCATTGTTTTGATTAGTTTTTCTTTTTTTTTTCTGATTTGAAAGAATTTTTTAATTGATTCTTAGTTTCTTCTCTTTTTTCATCGGTGTTTTCTTTGGCTTTTGTCAGTTCAATATGCCACTTTCCACCACTATGTGTTTGGCTTGATGTTGCATTTAGGTGGTTCGGGTTAGTCTCTTTCAGTAGAAATTACAACTAGATATGGTTGAGAGCTAGATTTACTTTTCTCTCATCAGTACTGGATCTATGTCATTTTCTGTTGACAAAATCGGTTATGACATCATTAAACAGTTTTAAACCACTTCAACAGAGGCTCTATCATGTCAATTCAAGAAGCATGTTTCATAATTGTCGAAGTTTCTCATTACCAAGTGAGGATAAAAAGATTTGAAATTTGTTCTAAATATTTTTCAAATTCTTTAGAATTTTTTGATGATTGAGTTTATAAAAAATCTTATAATCAAAATAGTTTTTTAGCTGATTTCTCATTATAATAACTTATTGATAACTCATTATATTCAATAAAAGTTATAATTAGTATTTAAAAAAATTGACACTTGTTAAGTCAAACCTACATGTACACTAGAATATTAAATAATTAATTACTTAAAATCTTTTTAATATTGATCTATTTCTCTTCTTTTGACATATATAGGTTATGATGAGACTATATGATCGCACGATTGTTTGGTTACCGCATACGGCTGCGGTGGCAGCAGCGGTAGCGGCAGCAATAATATATATTCTTGCAGGTTGTTGTTTGTTTTGCAGCCGCTACTGCAATAATATGTTGTTCGTTTTGTAGACATAACCGCAGCCGCAAGTACTTGCAGCAATCAAACGAACAACAATGTAAAATACATAACCTCAGTTTGTAAATGCAGCAGTATGTCATAATCGCACTGCTAGCTTTTTCAGCATCCAAATTTTTTTAATACAGCAACGTGCGTCAACCGCAGAGTTTTGCCACAAATACTTATATCAACCAAACGAAGAAGCACTCATGTTAAAACTACATTCATAAAGCAATTCACGAATGGTGACAGAACAAAAGGAATTGTGATCTTGCGATCAAAAGCTAAAAGAGATAGACACCGAGTTACATTTTCCACAAGTCATAATAATACTTACTCTCGATCTTCTGACTAATTTGTTTGTCAGTTTCTTCTTGACGCTTATGAAAATGTTTCAGGTTTCTTGGGTGGATGTATGTTTTCCCTCATAGTAGCTCTTGTGGCTATCGTACGCATCAGAAACATCTTGCAAGATGATGCCAGAAAAAGTATATGAACACTATGTTCCCTCTTTATAGGTACGACTTTAATCAGTTGTTTGTATTTAAATTAATCGAAATTAAATATGTGTAGACTTTACCTCTAGAGCCAAACTTTAACAATATCATATAAATGGGGAGGGGTTGGACAATCTTTAAAAATCCCAACAATTTGAAACAAAATAAGAATTCCTATGAATTTATATGATCCCAATTTTTTTTTTCTGCAGCTTGTTCAGATTCATCGTGTTGTACTTGACTATGTATGCTGCTAATATTCATTTTTGGAGGCGGTACTGAGTAAATTATACCTTCATATTTGGATTCAAACAAGGAACAGAACTTGGCTAGAAACAAATTCTATTTGTGGCATTCATCATTAGCACGCTTGCGCTTCTTTGTATTTTTTGCCAATCTTGACATGGAGGCAGACCCCAAAACCAAAGATTACAAAGAATTAACCAAACCTCTTCCTCTTGTCCTCCTCATTGTGAGTCCATAAATCCAAAATCAGCTTTTAAAATCAAAACTATAACTAGAAATATTCGACGATTATTGAATCATAACTTTGTGATGTATATTCTCGCAGTGTATGAGGCGAGTGTTTAAAGAGAGGTGCATAGAACAGCGCTACAACAGTTTCAAGTACGCTTTGGTAGTAGTTGCTGTTTGCATGGCTTATGAAGACCATAGATATGGATAGGGATGGCTTATGAAGTCGACCACGAGAAAGATCGTCAAAATATGTGGAGAGTGTTAGGCGGTGTTGCCTCAGCTATAGGCTATAACTGTGGTTTTCTGTACGTATTGGGACTTGGTCCATGACTGGGGACTCCTTAACCGCACATCCAAGAACCGTTGGCTACGTGATGAACTCCTCCTACCATACAAAGAAGTTTACTTCATTGCGATGGTGAGAGCATGATTTTTTTAAAGATATTGCATGGGCCAGCAAAATGCACAACCCTAGTTTAAGCTTTATAAAGATTGGGCCTGAAAAAGACCACAACGTCCCTAGGTATTAATTCAATTAATATACATAGACTTATAACGACTTAAATCTACATCACAATTTTTTTCCTAGTTTTCCATTTTATACAATCATGTTCAAGTAAGGCTATGTGCAATGGGGGTGTTTGTTGCCGATACGCCGTTTATCCGATCGCCAATCACCGCCCAAGTAAGTACTCTCTCTCTCTCTCTCTCTCTCTCAATCACTCGTTCGCTTTAGAAGAAACTCAAGAAGAAGAGAATACACACACACACACGAGAGACACAGAATTATAGAGTTCCCCAAACCAGGTACATCTCTCTTCAGGATTGATCCTGGAATTCACTATGCTCTTGTGGTTATTGCTTTACAGAGAATCGCTCAGAGAGCTTACAACAATGGTGTAATGGAAGGAAGAAGACGATCAACAGAAAAGTCAACGCGAAACAGAATATATGGATTCTGTTTCTCACCCATTTCCCGTGAACCACCTCTTGGGCCTGTAACAACCAACGCGGCCCAAATCGACTCTGTCTTCTCTGATCTTGCAACAACCGATGGGCTTTAGCTACCAAAGGCCCAACTCCAGCTGACCCAAAGAATGTAGACCTAAGTCTCACAATCTCCACCTAGGTCGTCATTCAGACAAAAACTTGTCCGAGACGCCGACACGAGCCCGTGAACTCTGATCCTGGAACCGGTGACTCTTTGACCCGAGACCACCACCCTTCTGCCCTTTCTCCACCGGAAAAGACCAACTACGAAGCTCTGATGTGATCTTTCGGAGTCGCACCTGTTGTCGCAGATCACATGCAACAACAGCCTTGGATCCGCCACCTTCTCAACTTCCTGACGACGACGAATCCGGCGAAGCGATTAAGCTCCGACCATGTTCAGCGTCTTCAAACACCCGCTGAACTTCCCTCCAGGTAAAACCTTCGTCAACATATCTGCTGGGTTTACCGACGTATGAATTTTCAAAACCTGAACATCACCATCGTCGATTACCTCCCTGATATAGTTATACTTGACCTTTATGTGTTTAGTTCGCTCGTGGAACATATGATTCTTGGCTAGATATATGGCGCTTTGTGAATCGCAGTAGATCTCAATCGCTTCCTGTTTGAAACCCATTTCCTCATAAATACCTTTTAACCAAACTGCTTCTCTACTTGCTTCTGACAACGAGATGTACTCTGCCTCTGTCGTGGAAAGAGCCACCACCTTCTGAAGCTGAGACCTCCAGCTAATCGTGTTTCCACCAACCGTGAACACATAACCCAGTATAGACCTTCTTCTGTCCAAGTCTGAGGCATAATCCGAATCGCAGTACCCTCTCACTTTGAAGTCTTGCCCCTTCGTGAAAGTTAAGTTGACTCCTGCTGCTCCTTTCAAATACCTCATTATCCACTGAACAGCTAACCAATGATCTTTCGCAGGTTTACTCATGTACCTGCTCACCAAGCCAACCACGTATGCAAGATCAGGCCTGGAGCCTACCATTGCATACATCAAGCTCCCAACAGCACTCGCATAAGGTATGTCTTCCATCTCTTTAGCTTGTG